TAAAAACATATATATAGTGTATACACATACTTACTATTTAATGTATTATGCATTTAATATACCTATTAATGTAAATTGTCACAATAAATTTTAAATTGAAGCTCACCCGTCAACATTATTACTATGATATGTACCCATTATGTATTACTAAAAAAATTATCTCACTTGAGATTTGGGGGGGGGGCAAGCTTGAGCCCAAAAATACATACCCTGGATACTCCCATACAGGATGCAATGTTCATTACTTCTTATTTTAAATTTAACAGGAAGAGCCATTTATCATGTTTAAAAAGCCTAAGTATGGTGAATCGCTAGCAGGAAATGACAGATTTGAAGGATATTGCAAGGATCTAACAATACTATTGGCTGATAAAATTGGAGTGAAATGTAAGTTATAATAATAAGAAATATGTATGTACTTATTGATGTACCTATTTGAAATTTATATTATATTCTATTTAACTGATTAGTAATTACTAATTAAAATAGATAATTAGTTACATATTTAAATATTAGTTKTAAAGAAACTACTATTATTATACATGCTTCTTTATTAAATCATGTCAGTATAATAAAAACTATACTTTCAAGGCYCTATATGGTATGAATAAACTAATAAAAATTTAATGATTGTAGATTAATATTTTGGTTCCGAAATTCAAATTTTTTAAACTATTTTCGGATTTAGTATTTGATRTATATAAATATATATTATATAACGGCAATTTAGTTAATTTCCCAATAATATATTTTACGATTATTTTTATTTATTATAAGTAAGTGTTATGATGGTAATTGAGACTATTTACGCAGTGGACCTTCTATTATCTAGATTGGATTTTGGATAAGAAATAAAATAGAAACTCTTAGTTATTACAGTTGAAATTAAAATAATGAAAGGGCTTTGCCATTTGCACTTTATTATAAATGTTAGCTTATTATTTAGATTATTTTAAAATGTATCTCACAATTATTGTTTTTCAATAAAAATTATATCAAGGGTATAAATAAATTTAAAAATAGTTTGAAGAAATACATTTTCATTTCACCAAAGTATTATTGAATTATAAATTTTATTGTCTTTGTAAAACAATGAAAATACTCAGCTTATTTCAATTCTAAATTTGTTCGATTTATTATTGATTATTGCCAATGTTATACATTTTAAATATAGAATGTAATTGAACACAATTTTTCAGACTAAAAAATGGTTTTTTGTTGTTYGCGGTTAGTATTTATACATATAATGCATAATATCCAGTTCGGTTCCAATTGTCGTAATGTGCGCACGTTAGTTTATTAGCAGTATATACTCGCCGCTCTCTTATCCAATCGTATCCTCTTTTACGACTTCTTCTTCTTTTCTAAATGCTTAGCATGGGCGCAACTAGGGTAAAATTTATGGGAGTGCTAAAATCTAAAGCACAATACGAGAACCCCCCTTGTTTTAAAATCAGAAGTGTTACTGTCACCGATAATGTAAAAAATCGGTACAGAAAATTTGGGAGTGCTAATTTTGATTTTGGGAGTGCTAAGCACTCCCAATCCCCCCCCCCCTAGTTGCGCCCATGATGCTTAGCCTTGTCATAGTTAGAAAATAGATCTCCACTCTTCTCTCTCTAATGCCAGAGTCTTCATATGTGAATACCTGCTACATCCAGCCAGTCCAAACATCTCTCCTATGAATGTCTTCCTCAGTCTTCTTCCTTTGCGGGTTATGTCTCAATAAGTGTCCTATCACTTATCGTCATTGAATGTTCAAATTAAAAAAAAAAAAATACTACCTAGCTATTAATATTAATTATCTTTTGTGCTGTATATTATCTTGACTGTTTGTTATATACTCGTTATTTATCTATATCTATATCATTATTACTACAATCACTTTTATTATATCATTGATTTTGTTACATAATATGTATTAATATTGTAATATTTGTTGAGCCATAATATTCTACGGCTGAAGGCTAATAATAATAAAAAAAAAATACATTATATTAAAGTTAATAATCACTTAAATAATTTTTAAATTGTAAAATTGAAAAACTTGAAGTTGATGATTACCGAGTTACATTTAAAGTTAGTAAATTAAACATGAAATAAAATATAATCAATCACAAACACTTAAATTTTTAAATAATCATTAAATTATAAAAAAATTATAAAATATAGAAAAACTTACATCATACCTATTATATTTTACTTTTTTGAATTGGTCTTAAGAAAAAATAATATAAAGAAATTGATAAAAGACTAAATATCACATAATGAGTTTTTGATACATTTTTATGTAATAGGTTGTTGTAAGTACTTTATTTCATAAAAAAAAAATATATATATATATATATACATTTACTCCTGATTATGATTAAGAAACATTTGTATTTTCTCTATATTTATTTTATCACAGAAGCTTGATATATAATTTTAAAATTTTACAGATTTTCTCAAATCATTTTTTTTAAAGAGCTTAATCATAACTCAGATAATATACAGTTTTATCGTCCCCATATAACTTTTATTTTATTTTATTCCGAAAAATACTTTTTTTTTTATAATAGCAGTGTCATTTAAAAATATTTCAGTACAAAATAATAAAAGTTAACTCATTTTTATATTAAAAAATGATATTTTGTATTTTCGAATAAAATATTATAATTAACTGCTTAAGTTGGATTAAAAATTTATAAATTCAAGTAGTATATGATATATTAGATGGCACGATGTTCATAACTTTATGGCTATACAGCACAAAATAATGGCTATTGGAATCTACAATATTAAAATAAAAATTCTAAAATTAAAGGTCAYGAATATTTTAGCAAAAATAAAGAAYTTGCGGTGACTAATATAAATATTTTAACAAATATACACATTAAATATAATACAGCTGTCATAAAACTATCATATTTCACTCGGATATTTGTGTTTAAATATAAAATCTATTATAACCGTGTGTTCAATTTTAAATGTAACAGGAAATATTTGGAACGCATGACCTTGAATTTGATTCAGGGTTTTTTTTACAGGATACAGGACATATAAATATATAAATATATAAATAGGAACCATTATTTTTGACACTGGATTTAGATTACTCTATTTTTTTTAGCAACTTTGATCTTTACAGTTTATTGACATTTTTAAGACAGTCGAAAGTTTTAAATTAGGTAGGTAATTCGTATTTATCGCATATCATATGTGCTCGTGGTCTCCTATTGCGGCGGTGGTTAGCTGGACGTATATCTGGACGTTTTCCTTTTTCTTTAAGGTTGTTTACTAATCGTAAAAAATAATTGTGAGCTGGAGGATATCTCTCTTGATATCGTTCAGCATAAAGTGCYGCTGCGTTACGCGAATTTTGAAGACATTCTCTAAAATTTAATACCATATCGGGTTTTTTCGGAATAATTGTATGCCATTATACAGAAAATTTAATGTGTCACACACGAGTTAAGAAAAACGTTTAACTTTTAACAATCAATTTTAGAAAGGTATCACACAGGTTATTAAAAATCTAACATTCAACTATGATACAATCAAAAAACGATTAAGATAATTATTTCAATAATAGTTTATTGATTTGATTAAAAACATGATTTAATAATAATTCCAATAAYAATTTAGTAGTTTTAACAAATAAATAGTTATAATATCTGAAAATGCTTGATATTTATCGCATAAAATATGCGATAAATACGAATTACCTAATTTAAAACTTTCGACTGTCTTAAAAATGTCAATTTTGAAGTAATCAAAAAACTGTAAAGATCAAAGTTGCTCAAAAAGAATAGAACAATCCAAATCCAGTGTCAAAAATAATGGTTTTTGAGAAATTTAAGATTTTTATTTTACTGCGCATGCGCTGATAAAAAAAAGTTAAAAACATAAATTTATCAAAAAAATATGTATTTATATGTCCTGTATCCTGTAAAATAACTCCGAATCAAATTCAAGATCATCATGCATTCGAAATATTTCCTGTTATCTTTAAAATTGAACACACGGTAGATAAATGAAAAAAACTTTTATGAATCTCATCATACTTCCGTGTAAACATAATATTATTATTTGATGATAGTAGAACACATTTCAAGAAAAGTTATCCTTATTTTTAAGTAGATAATGATTTAAAGTTTTGATGTGATAAATTTGTCCTTTGGGATTTCTTGAAAAATAGTGAATTTTAAAATCTAAAATTATATATTATTTTTTTCTGTATTAGAGATATTTTGTAGAAAGTAAAATATTTTCTAATTAAAATTAATTCATTAGAACTAACTTAGGCAAAGTAATTACTAATTCAATTTTAAAATAACTTTTGTTTTTATTTGTTTATTTATGTCTAAAATAATGTGCTTTACTAAAATTAGGTACTTAGAATATTTTCACATTATCATTTTTTTCCTAATATCAAATATGATGATGTGCATTACGTGTTAAAAAATATACGTAATATTATTATGTATTATTTATTTTAAAATAATATGTCTCAAAATTTCAAAAATATACAAGACGATGACCTCTCTTTTGTTTTAAAATATTTATATACTTAATATAATTTTTATAAAAATAAAAATAATATGATAATGCTGGCTTCAATGGTGTTTGATGAAAAAATAAAAATTATTGCAATTCATTGTGTCGATGTACTGTGTACTTGCATGAGTGGTAACACGTTGTACCTACTTGTTGTTTCAGAAATATTAAATTTGATATCAAACATTTTATGGGATGTAACACGTATTCCTTTAGTTATAGTTCAAATGTCGACTATTGACAGACATCAAACTACTACRTTCATGAATTCAGTAAGACGACTAGGGTCCATACAGATATGGTAATCAATGGTTAACGCGATGGATGACAGCAGCCAGTTGCTAGTTCGTATCATTGTGTGATACAGCTTTTGACTACCGTACAGCTTTGGATATAGTTGAATCAACCCAGATAGACGTCATGTCGACAATTTTCATCRTTTCTATGCTGATTTCTGYCGAAATAGGATACAGGATATAATTATTATCGCCAATGATGCCAAAAATGGCAAGTCAAATAAACATACGATAGACGGCATGAAAAGACGCCATTTGAAGAAAGAATTTTCGACAGTATAGTTGTTCATATGTTGGCACCAACGTTCTTAGGTGCGGATAAGATAACGAATAATGATGAACTGTAGGAAATCGATTTGTGGTTGTTGGCTGTTGACAATCTAGAGGGTTAGGCGGAGGAAACGCGCCTGCTGGTGTTTCTCTTCGACCGTCAATAGGAGACTCTGGAAGATCGACATAATGATGCTGTAATGCTAGTCTTGAAAAACTTTTGGTGTACTTACAAATAACTCGCGCGTCCAAACGTCACAAACGAAACTATTTAGGTCCATCGAACATATTTACGATTGATTGGGTGGTAAGCAATCAACGTGCCATAATATTAAGGAGGTTAAAACCGATTTTAAATAATGAATGCATTTTTAAATGATTATTAAAAAGCAGAGGAAATTGCTGTAAGTTGCATATAGGCAGTAGTTACATGTCATATAGCGGATGAGTTAACTTTCAAATCAATGCATACAAAAATGAATATGATGAGGAGAGACGCATGCTAGTTCTCATTGCTATGCATAATTTATGACTTATTTAGATTGTTATTAGTAATATTTATGTTTCTTTCACCAATCAGGTAGAACTATTTTTTGAAAAAACATCGCATATATCTATCTATCTATTTATATAAATGTGAATGTGTTTTTTTTACTTACGGCTTATCTTAAAAAGCACCGATTTCAATAGAATAGTTATATAAATAGATTTTTGAGATTCAGAAGGCCTTTCAAGTTTTTTTTTATTACTTATAGGTTGCTATAAGGTGACTCACAGAAATTGAATAATTTTTTTTTTGTATACACTATATAGGGTTGCTTTGATAAAATAAAAAATAACCATATAGTACACTTTTACTATATTATATACACTATAATATAGTATATAGTCTACTTGACCAGCCATGCAACGAAAGATTTTTTTTAAATAAAAGAGAATAATGTTTAATTTACTGTTTTTTGTTTTTTGTGAAAATATAAAAGAATAATACATAATATATAAGAGAAATGTCTTTATGTCTGTACTAATGTATRGWCCAAACATCTTAAACCAATTTTGATGAAAGTTTCAGAGATTATTTTTAAAGATATCAGAGAAGTTTGAATCACGTTTGAAAATATAATATAACTAATCCACTACAGATGGATTGCCAACCTTGGCTGAACTAATTCATAAATCAAGTTAAGTACTCTGATTCTGATTTGCTCGTGAACTATAAGATACACAATAACCGAAATACACCAGTCTAGTAGTGCTGATCTACGCTGATCTTGATGTTTATTCGTTTTTCCTCTTGAAATGTCTGATYATACTACTATAATATAATAATAATAACAATATCACGTCGTTATATATTATCAAAATTACTTTATAAGCTTCTAGATACTTAATCGGACTTCACCTWTAAAAATTGTTACAAACACGAATACGATGATAATATATCGATGTATTCCTGTAGGTTTAGTTTACCTCAGTTCACGGGAATTCAGCATTGGTGCACCTAGGTTTGTGAACTAATCAGACCAAGATGGGGAGTCCATTTTTCTGTAATACTTATTATTTTTACATTTCTATTGAGTGTCGGTAATATAACTGTATAAGTATTGGTCAACTACCCGTGACCTGTTATTGGACGTTGGGTGAMGGTTTAGTGAAAATCTACACTATTTTATTTATGCTTTATACGATTCACCTTATGTAATATGAAATAGTATTTAATATAAATACTTTTCAAATTTAGAATATATAGTTAACACTAAACTAAAATCAAAAATATATATAAATGATAAATGTATATTATATAATATATATATATTTTTTATGGTTTGTTTGAGGATATGCGTAGTATAACCATGATATTTTAAGAAAAGATTGAGAGTATACTACATAATATACGAGATTTAGTATACTGTATACCCTATAGGAACACTATTGTATGTAATATTATATCATATTTTATATGATACAGATACTAAATTAAAATGTTACAATTTATTAGAATGAATTGTATTCGTTGCAGTTGTTGCTATGAATATTCATTTATATGGCCATTGGTAATTATATAGTACCTACTATAAGAATTTTATTGCGACTGCGTTCATAGTTAAAAGTTGAAAATRAAAACACAAATAATTTCGTAAATTGAATATAGACTATAAAAAATATCTGGCTAGGTACTTGAATTTTAATATGTTATCTAATATATCGTCAGCAAGTTATTTTAGTCTATTTATATATTYTGTATTTAAATCACCATAATTCAGTATGAGAGGTCAAAACAATTCGTTTACGATGTTTTGAATAAATCGAATGTTCCAGATTGCAGGTTGATTTAATATCAAATATTATTGATCTACTATATTATATACTCTGTATAGTTATTGTATCGTCTCAGATTTACAAACGCAAATACCTGGGTGCAGCTCACATAAATATTTATCCATAACCCAAGGACCTCGCATCTGTGATTTAAAATATGATATAAATAATTAGTGAATTCAGTATTTCTGTAAAGGTGGCAAAACTACAGTTAAGTTTATTCTTTAACTTAATATATTATGGAGTTTCAAATTTATATATCACCTAATCTTTGTTTCAATTAATTGTTGGAAATCAATAGTATATTCTATAATATAGTAATTTACTAGATACATATTTAATTTATGTTAATTGTAAATTTAAGATAATGATGGGGACATCGGCTTCAGATAGAAGAAAAAAGTCGACTTTTTTGTAGACTAAATACATATACTTGAATACTAAAAATTTTCAGAATTGGGAGATGTGTGGGAAAGGTTATCTATGACAATAGTTAGGCTAGGCAATTCCCTAAGTTTCGGGGTCATCACAGATGATTAGACCATATGACTATAATATAAAATATAGTACCTACATATTATATACATCACCATATCCGTACCCGAATACAAGTATCACTAATGCTATCCATTAACAACAAACAAGAGCTTAGCAAAATGGGCTAACAGTTCCCTTTTCTTCCTTGTTACTAAAGATGAGATATAGCTGTGTAGGCACAAACTATAAAATCCCAATGTCAGTGATATTTATATCAGTTATGTTAATAGAGTTTTCATAAATTAAAAATAATATATAGTTGTGTCGATATTATAAAGATAATATTAAAATGTTAACTATACATTCAAACAGTTTGCATACAAAAAAAGTTATGGTTAAAGATTTGCATTAGTTAACAATTTAAATCAAATAAAAAAAATATTCTTTGTTTTATGAGTAAAAAAATCAAATTTGATTTTATGGAATACTGATCTTGCTCAATAATTCCTGAAAAYTATTTTGTTTTTTTTGTTTATTTTTTAGAAGTAGGTACTAACATTTTTTTTACCCTCAAAGTACCAACTATATCCAATTTTCTACCTGATACCATGCTCAAAGTTGAAAATAAAAATATTTTCGCTGCTCCAAAAGAAATTACACATCATTGTAAAGCCAATCACTCCACTCAGAGTTTTAAAACAATAATAAATAAATGCTCATTTAAATTAATATATTTATATAACTCTTGTGTTGATCAAATATTTCATTTTTGATCATTTCATTTTAAATTAATTATCTARACTTACTAGTATGGYATTAGTATTTAATTTCGATAATTACGTTTCTACAGTACATCCAACATATTCATGAAACAAAAGACGATGGTATGCTTCGTGATCAGTAGGTATGCAAACTGTGTCGATGGTCGTTTATTACACATCAATGTCGACTTTAAAGTTTGTCACAAAGGCCTAATATTGTTCCTCGCAATTACTCGATCTATATAGTTATTATCATCGACGAGAGGTATCTACATTAATATCGAAAACTGTTTGAGTTCTAGGTATCTGCTAATACCAATATTGAGTAACTATTCAGTCAGAAAATAATTCTCAATGAGTAAATAATAAACCAAACAATGTTTATAAATTTAAGCATTTAATTATATTCATTTTTTTTTTCTTTAGTGATGTATGTATTGATTGTTAGTTATTATATTAAGTATATAGATATATCTATAAAACATTAACTAATATTGCACATTAAACATGATTTTAATTTGATTTAAGWATAATAATTTAAATATCTATATGTAGATACTATAATATTTTTGGTGAAATATGGAAGTAATTAGTAATTTGATTTCATTATTTATTATTAACGTATTTTTTCAGATGAATTGCGTACTGTCAAAGATCGAAGATATGGAATGGAGAATAATGAAGTTAAAGGTGGTTGGGACGGGATGGTTGGCGAAATAATCAGAAAGGTATGTGATATAAACTTTGTAAAACGTCTACTGAATTGATAATTTTTAAATTGTTTATAACTATAGTAATTAAAAGTAGTATTTAAACATTTCATTTCGTCTTGTTTCTATAAAGCAAAAATAATTGTATATAAATAATAAATATAGTTGACCTGTTTAAATGTTTAGTCAACATTATTATTTATACTATTTTAATTTAAATGCCCCTTGTGTATAATAAACTGTATAATAACACAACATAAAATTAAATTAGAGTATCCATTATATTTGTTTTTAAAATACATTTTATAGTATTGGAAATCAATTTTGAAGTACCATTCATATGACTGGTACCAAATAAACCGTTTAACTTATATCAATGTTTGTTTAATTAAAATATAATATTCTTTATCGCTAATGGTTTTTACACCGAAGTTTTAAAATTAATTTTGGTTTTTTTAAGTTTTTTTTTTAAAAATACAATGCGTATTGTCATTATGCATTATTTATTTATTATAAACATTAAAATTATTTTTTATAATTATTAAAATCCAACTAAAAGTTACTTTTGCATAACGAAAGTATAAAACTTTATAGCCCGGATTTTTGTCTTTTATATACTCTGTTTCTGATATTATTTAATTTTTTAAACTTAATCAGTTTTTATTTACTTTAATTGTTCAATTTACACAAAATGAAAAATAAAAAGGGAAAAACCTCCAAATTGGTTACAATATCCGTGGCAAAGCTTTTGCTAAGGTTTTTTTTACCGTTGATTGTACGAATATTATTTATAATATAGGTTTGTATTCCGGTTTCTTGTTTACCTTCATACCTTCACAAAATATTTTAATCATTGATGTAAACATTGTATAGTGCACTCAATGAATATTATTTAATTTTATTAAAATCAATTGAATTTTTACTATTTAATTAATAGACCACATATCACTAYGTTTGTRACTATTGTAATTTGTAATACCTAAGAAACATACATGGTGGTAGGTACTCAGTTTTTCTATTTAAACCTAATATAGCTGAGATATTATATATTACATATTATMATAAAACACAATGAAATAAATTAATTGAATAAACAACACTATAAATATTACCTAATAATATTGTTTATGGGATTGTTGATTATATTTGTTTTTGGGTCTAAACGAAAGTAAGTAATAACATCGTTTTATATAAATATTATAGTAATCCTCCATAAATTATGATACAATTATTTCTAACGAAATGAATATGTTTATACTTTATTAGGTTTTAATTTGTATAAAAACTATTGAAGATTTTAGATTGCAATTAAAAACATTTACAATCATGGATTTAATTAGCCATTGAAATATCTGTTTTTAAAATTTGTGGATATTTAATATTTATTGTATTTATKTTTTAATTTGATTTTAAAATGTACAGCATATTTAAGTGTGAAATCTAATCAATTACCAAATACTTGCAAGTAATATTTTTTCCTTTACAATATAATTTAATTGGCAATATTTCAATTATGAAATGCGGCTAATTTAAGTGCTTATATCTATAAACAATTTAATTAATTTGTTTTCATTGAAAAGTTAGCATAAAAGTTTTTTTGTTTTTTTTCTGAATACTTTGAAGATCTACCTATAGAAAATTAWGTTAATGGAGTATTTGTTTTTAAAAATAATTATTGGTTGTATATTAGTACTTATGTAGGTAGGTATATGGTTGTTATTTTAAAAATAATAATCATACTGAAATATCTACTTTACCGATTATTTCGTTAATGATTTTGAAACATAATACTGTATAGGAGTGCAAAGATTTTTATAAGCTGCACAAGTTTATATTTCAATTATTTGAGTGTGGCTTGGTGTGGYGCGTTGGCTGCTACCAATAGCGGAATTCGACTGGGAGTAAGTAACGGCCACAGCTACTAGCTCCCGGATGGGTGACCACAGGCGCGGATTCACGGGGGGGGCTATGGGTGCTCGAGCACCCCCTGTCATCTAGCCACCAACAAAATAAATTTATATTATAAATTATATAATTTGTTATTTTTCAAAATAAAAATAATAATAATAATAATAATATCGGTGCTTTTCGTTATCACCGTCACATATGACAATAATAACTATTGTTAATTGTTTTCGAAGTATACTTACTTGTATGCAACGACACGCGTCGACGGCGGAAAGCACCGATAACAATTATTATGAAAAAAAAGTTAGCACTAATAAATCAAATAGAAAATGATAATATTTAAATAAATAGTAAGATGTAACAATTTTTTTTTTGAGCACCCCCTGTTAAATTTTTCTGGATCCGCGTCTGGGTGACCATCCGGGTTCATAGTAGTTAGAAACCTTGCCATACATACACGTGTTTGCTACCTACCGTAACAACCGTAAAAACAACCTACCGTACTAAAACCTTACCCCTACYACAGTTCATAACCCCTAAAAGAGCTAATGGCCTMMGTCACCGGGCTTAAGACAATAAAAAAAAAAATTATTCAATTTTGAATAAAAACATTAACTGTGTTTCGTGCGGTGTAGGTGAGTTGATTCCCGAGACCTATTTTATGTATTAGTTGATTCCCACCTCCCGGCTCAATATTAGGTATGTACGAGTTGATTCCCGGTTCATTAAGAGGGACTTACAAGTTGATTCCCTATTGTTGTATATTAATTATCAATATATTGCACAAGAAAAGAGTTTATAACCGAAAAGAGTTCGACCGTCACACACAACGACACAACTCGCTCTTGTCCACCGAGACCACACGCATGCATGCGCGCATGTGTGTTGGTCGAACACAATATTATCAAAGATTATCGTCATTATTATTATCTATGTTTATATATTATAACGCATATTTTATTGGTCACGATAATTGATTTTAGATGGTTAGATAGCAGTTTTTATAGTTGAACATAATCTCTTAGTATTAGGCGTGTTTCAGTATTGTTGCAACCATTATTAGTTCAACATAAATTGTGTCGTTCTGTATTTKTATTGTGTACATTTTTGAATAAATATGGAATTTATATTGAGCGAAAAGTCCAAACCATTAATACCAATGGATGGATWTAAGTTTTGTTTCCATAAAATGCTAGCAAACGATATCCAACGCTGGACTTGTAGCAAGAGTGTAAGTGTTATTTAAAAATCGATTTTAATAATAAGATTATAGAAAGCAACACAAATCATAACTATGACAAAATTGAGGAAAATATTAGTAAGCGGCAAGCGCTGAGCAATTCCTTAAAAAGGAAAGCTGTTGAAGATGTTTTTGCGAAGCCTTCAAAATTAATTCGCAGAGAGTTAAAACACAGAGATATAAGTACTTTAACAAATAATGACTTATCTCTAATACGACATAATATACATCGAGTTTCRTGCCTCATAAAAATGATTACAAATAAATTCTGAAAGTTATGATTATTTTATGCAGGGAATTCTTCCAAATGGTATTAAAATACCTATATAATCCAGATTTTACGATAAACTTATTTTCCGATTCTACATTTTTCTTAAAAAAATATAATCGGAATATTTATTGAAATACCTACCAGTTTATATATGTTTTTTAATATGTAGACATTAATTATAAATTATACATTTTAAAATATTTTGCCAGAAAAAAAATTTAAATAAATTTTACTTCTATTGTTGTTATAATAGTAGTTCAATTTAATAATTGTTTGATTACATTATATAAAAACCTAAAGTATGAATTAATATCATATATGGTTTCCTGAAACAAGCTCGAAATCGTATTATTTTTATACTTAGGTACAATAAGACATTCTTAGCTTGCGCTATTTACAATTCGGGATGTAAAATATGCAAATGCCCCGGGTTCCTAATCACGACAACTAAATTTAAAACTTTTTAATAGTATAGTTACTGAGTGGCTAATAGTTATTAATAAAATTACGTCAAAAGAAGATTAGATTAAGTCATAAAGAAATTTTCATTCTATATTGAGATGGTGCATTGGATCCGTTGACATGTGATTGAACTTAAAGAAACTTTCAGCCAAAAGTTTAATGTGGTCTTGAGGTTTAGGGAATCTAAAATGTTTGTGTATGTCAAGGATAAAACATGGAGAGTTTATTACTTTTTTAAAGATTTTATTTTGAAATATTTTCAATTTGTGGATTTGTGAAAATTCGACCAAAATAGAATAAGCATATCTAAACAGTTGGTGCATTACTTATTTATAAAAAAGTAGGGAACATTTATTCTGTATAAATAGACTTCCTGATTAGAATAGATAATAGCATCATTAGACGATGATAAGCTTATAATAGGAATATAGACGATAAGTGCATCCACAAAATTAATCTTTTATCCAACATTACATCAAGATACTTAACTGTCAGCTTCTAAGGGATTGGTAGATCGTTGAARTTGAGTAAGGGTGGAGTATGGTTACGACGTAGACTGAACACTTACACTTTTTCAAGGATTTATTGATATTTTCCAACTATTGCTCTACGACTACAAAATTCTTACAAGGTTTTGTAAATTGATTGTTATTGGCTTATTATGCTTATATTTAAGATTTAGTGAAAATTATTGATTCGTAGCAAAATGGGCCATTATAAAGTATATAATAAATATAATGCAGATAATTTAGAACAGTTTTTTTTAATATATATGACTAAAAGTCTCCCTTTTATCATGGTCAAAAAAAAACTTAAAAATGTCAAAATTTTTTTTGATTGAAAAAAAATTGAAAAAATTATGAAATAGACATTTTCTTGAGTTATTTTTAAATAATTTGAAGGAAAAAACAATTTTGTAATTGTTTGAATTTTTAACGAATGAAAGCAACTTATATTTTCAAAACTTGAGAATTAGGTAAATTTTAAAATTTCTTGGTTTTTAAATCTTACACTTTGATAACTAATGCTAATTCAGGTAATTAATAAAAAACACACTATCGTGGAAACTGTATATGATATTTTTTATTCGTTTTATAATATTATTCAATACCAACATCTATTATGATATTATACACAATTCAGTTTTATTGGACCAGGTCTTTGTTACGAAATTAGAGGTATAATTTAAAAATGTACAAAATACTCCTAGTGACACGATTTTATACCTGCATTATATTTTGAATTAGGGTACCAACTTTTCAATTAATTGGCWTACTAAATAAGTGTGTGGCGTCTGTGGGACGTAAAATATGTAGACATTGAATACAGTAGGAACAAGTATTGATCATCGAGTACCTAACACTAGCTGTTATATGCATGTTCAAAAATATAAAAGTTTTAATTTATTTTGACAGAAAATTGTGTGTTCTATGTTAGTCAGAAATGAGTTTATTATATGAAATTCAAATACCTATAGGTAGTTGAGTGCATTGATAAATTTTAGTTTGTACAATAAGTCTTGATAACTTGTCAAAAGTTTTAAGATATATCAATAAAAAACAAAACCTGTGTGACAGTACTTTTCAAATAAGTTACTTATAATATATATTGTATATATACATATATATTATAAACTTTTATGCTGGTTTTTACAAAGAAATAGTTGAATTGTAAAATGGCGTGCTAAAAACCCAATTTAATATTTTGAAATTATTTCCATACACTCTATGTGATAAGTATTTTCTAAATTACTTTTTCAACAAATTTGATTATGGTGTTAATAAACTGATTGGACTGTAACGGTCATTGGTTAATTTTTCATTCTGGTTTTTCGTTTTAAAAATATTATAATTATTATAAATTATTATAATAATTTATGCGATGCAAAAACCATTGGAAATTTGAGTATATAATTATTTTATTAAAAAATGCTTTTTATGGGCTTTTTCGGTTCAAATAGAATTACGTAATATATTAACCTGGTTAAGGAATATATTTGTTTGTATGATTTAGATAATTAGATTGTAAAACTGCAATGATAGGTGTAAGACAATTTAGAATGATTTTGCAATTGTGTAACAAAAATTAAAATGTATTGAATCAAAATATTTTATTGTTTTGGTTTTAAATATGGACACTTTTGGGAATAATTATTCTTGAAGATTTCTTATTATAATAGAAAATTGTATGTACAATTTTAGCTGGATGATATGTTATTCGTGATTCGTCAAAACTTTTATTAATTGATCAATAGTGAACTATGAAAATGTTTGAAATCTTATATGTTGTCCATAAATATGCGGTTTTTTTTTTAACCATCTTTAGTCGATTGGAGTGGCTTAACTGATAACATCGTTTTTGTTTACATTTAAATTTGGTAAAGGTATCTAATGATTTTTGTTTTCACTGGGTGGATAGATTATGTAGTATGATTTGGTCTGTCCCCTTGTCAAGAAAATATAAGAGAAATGTTGTGCTTTAACTCTTGGAGGATTCAACCATTGTTCTAGAGAATATACTGTTTGTTTTTACTATAAATAATKTAACATACAGGCATAGAGATCCACAGCTTATGATTTAGAACAAATTATAAATAACTTTTCACGACGGCTTCTACGATAATCAATTCGGAATTGTATAGTTCATAAATTAGAAACAACAAATATTTACCTAATATAATATGTCCTAAATAGTTTTAAGTAGTGCCCGTGATTTAAAATATTAAATTAAATTAATTTGTTTGACTTAACCAATTGTACTATTATTATTGTAGGAAGTGGACTTGGCCATTGCACCACTCACCATCACAGCAGAACGGGAGAARGTGATTGAATTTAGTAAGCCGTTCATGTCGACGGCTATCAACATCTTGATTAAAAAACCGTCGAAACACAAGCCCGGAGCTTTCAGTTTCTTATCGCCACTGTCACGAGAGGTGTGGATCAGCGTCGGGTTTGCTTATGTAGCCGTCGTGATCGTCATGTACGTCGTGTCGCGGTTTTCTGCACACGCCACTGCCGCGGCACATGTAAGACCAGTTCACAACAGCTACGGCGGTATAGGCATAGGCAGTGGCGGTGGCGGTTTAGGGCATGAACTACAGCAAACCATACCACCACCCCCAATGTTTGTTCATAATCCTTTCACGTTGGCAAACAGCATGTGGTTTGCAGTGGCGGCTATTACTCAACAGGCCTGTGACATCGCACCGAAGTAAGTTTCACTGTGAAATAATAATAATAATA